GTCGTGCGTGTCGCCCCCGACCTTGTCAATTACCTAACGGTAGTACATGGGGGACGCCCCACTCACTACCTAACGGAAGAACATGTTATGGGTTGCTTGCCCCTTGACATGGTCGAAGCCAAGCCGGTGAGGAGAACCTACATAGTCCCCTGTGATATACACTACAAGAAGTCCTCCAATGACACCTTGCTACATTAGGTCTCAGTCATAGACGAGGTCCACAAAGGGACCTGCCCGGTCCACCAGGGGGTCCGTCCCCTGTGATGATGTTTTAAGAATTCCCTCCAAAGATGTTGCAAGAGGTGATCCATCCTCTCCAATGATGTTTCAAGAGGTCATCCGTTCTCTCTAATGATGTTTCAAGAGGTCGTCCGTCCTCTCCAATGATGTTTCAAGAGGGGGAACGTCTCCTCCAACGATGTTTTAAGAGGTGGAGCGTCCCCTCCAAAGATGTGGCAAGAGGTGATCCATCCTCTCCAATGATCTTCCAAGAGGTGGGACGTCTCATCCTACAACGTTTTAAGAGGTGGAGCGTCCCCTCCAACGACGTTTCAAGTCCCTCCAACGATGTTGTAAGAATCGAGTACTCACCCGACCTCTCCAAGCCTACCCTAAGGGGGCACGAGGTCCAACCTCACGTACCAACCCCGACGGGAGAGCCCGATGGCTTAGTCCGGCAGGACTTGGCTCATGCGGGTAGCGTACCCTAAGGGGGCACGAGGTCCGACCTCGCGTACCAACCCCGACGGAAGAGCTCGGTGGCTTAGTCCGGTAAGACTCGGCCCAAGCGGCTTGCGCACCCTAAGGGGGCACGAGGTCCGACCTCGCGTACCAGCCCTGACGAGAGAGCCCGATGGCTTAGTCCGGCAGGACATGGCTCAAGCGGGTAGCATACCCTAAGGGGGCACGAGGTCCGACCTCGCGTACCAACCCCGACGGAAGAGCCCGGTGGCTTAGTCTGGCAGGACTAGGCTCAAGCGGCTAACGTACCCTAAGGGGGCACGAGGTCCAACCTCGCATACCAACCCCGACGGGAGAGTCCGATGACTTAGTCCGGCAGGACTTAGCTCATGTGGGTAGCGCACCCTAAGGGGGCACGAGGTCCGACCTCGCGTACCAACCACGACGGAAGAGCCCGGTGGCTTAGTCCGGTAGGACTAGGCTTAAGCAGCTAACGTACCCTAAGGGGGCACGAGGTCCAACCTCGCGTACCAACCCCGACGGAAGAGCCCGGTGGCTTAGTCCGGTAGGACTAGGCTCAAGCAGCTAACGTACCCTAAGGGGGCACGAGGTTCGACCTCGCGTACCAACCCCGGCGGAGGTGCCCGGCGGCTTAGTCCAGGGGGACTAGGCTCAAGCGGTTAACATAAGGCATTGTGCTAAAAAAAATGAATCAATAAGGGAGAACTGATTGTCCATTCAAAATGCCAAGTCAATACAATGTGCCCACCTCCTCGAGTGGAAACATAAAATGTGCCCACCTCCGGGAGGGGAAGCATGTTTAACGAAGCAAAGACAAAATGAAGTATCTCCTGGAGGGGAGACATAAAAGGTGCCCACCTCCGGGAGGGGGAACATGTTTAACAAAGCAAAGACAAAATGAAGTACCTCCTGGAGGGGAGACATAAAATGTGCCCACCTCCGGGAGGGGAAGCATGCTTATCGAAGCAAGGTACAAAAGGACACACCTCCCGGAGGGGGCCATAAGATATGCCCACCTCCCGGAGGGGAGCCATAAGATATGCCCACCTCCCGGAGGGGAGACATAAAATATGCCCACCTCCCGGAGGGGAGTCATAAAATGTGCCTACCTCCGAGGGGAGAGGTATGTTAGGAAAAGTACAAAGTGGTGGAGCGGAAGACGGAACCCATATGATAAAGAAGGGATGACGCTAATCAAGCCTAATCCTTGAGGTTGGGGTCGGTCACGTTGGGGTCGGCCACGTTGGGGTCGGTCACGTTGGGGTCGGCCACGGTCGGGTTGGCCACGTTGGGGTCGGTCACGTTCGGGTCGGCCACGTTGGGGTCGTCAACGTTGGGGTCGGCCGTGTGGGGGTCGGACCCATGGAGTGCGACTCGTGTTTACTCTCCTTCATTAACGAACCTCGGCCCAAGACGCCTCGACACAAGGCACCTCGGCCCAAGAGTGGCTACCTCATGAACTCACCCAAGAGGAGGACGACTACCTCATGAGCTCGCCCAAAGTGAACTCAGAAATCAAAGTCTCATACACGATGCTAGGGAGGCATAGTGGTGGGGCCCCGTGCTCGGCCCAAGGTGCCTCGGTCATGGTGAGCTCGGTCACAGGAGGTCGGCTAATTATTAACTCAGGGCAATCACGTGGGAGTCGGCTCGCAATGTGTCTACTCTCTAACGTTGTCGACTTATCACAACGAAGAGAGTGGGGGACTCGTGATGGATATATTGGACCCGGAACGAACCGACCAGGAGAGATGGACCCGAGGTGCCTCGGCCCAACCCCTTGGGCCGTGGCCGGGTCGGCCCAAAGCAACTCGGCCATGGGCCGGGTCGGCCCAAAGCAACTCGGCCATGGGCTGAGCCCGGCCACGGACGAGCTCGGTACACCCGAGCTCGTCACCATGGACCCGGCTACTGCCGAGCCGAGCCGGTCCATGGTGGACTCGGCTAGCCCGAGCTCGGCACATGCCCGGCTCAGCCATGCCGAGTCGCCCCATTTTGGACCCGGTCCCGGAGGGGACGCGGTCAAAGCGGGCCGATCTAACCACCCCCGGTTCTAGGGGTGCTGTTGGGGGTTGAGCTGGTATAAAAAGTTCTCTCCTTGTCCTTACAAAGGCCCCTGATCATTATATGACACAACATATTCTTGAACTACTATCTTCTAGCATTATTGTCCTAATCAAGTCTTGTAATAGCTTATTAGCGATAATTAATACAATATACGGTCCCTGCGACCTTACGACATCTCTGCGTCATATTATTTATTTCGTACACATTCTTATCCGGGTTTAATAATTCGGGCCACCCCGGGTGAATTAAACCCATCAATATTTATGAAAATGTTGCAACAATATTATGAAATTTATTAGAACAAAAGCATTTAACTTGTGGTGCACTGTCATTTAATAAAATCTTCAGTGATTAGTATAGTCTTTAGTTTCTTCAAAATTGATCCTGGGTCATTTCGGTTGTAAGGCTCAAAACAATTTTGTGGGACATAAAAGTAAGACTCATTATGTTCAGTTCATTTAAAATGAACATTGAAGTTATTTGGGAAGTTATGGTGTATGATTAAGATTCCAAATTCATGGACTTAGACCTTTAGTTTATTGTCTAATTTATTGGAATGCTTCTGTGACTTGACTATCTTTTGGCTATTTTTGATGAGTGGGAGTGACAGACGTGTCAACTCCAAGCTCTTAGTTGTTAGAGATAGTACTTAAAGTTAACTTATAAAGAAGTCATGGAATATAGTTAGCATTATGCTAACATTAAGAGATCTCTACTTAAGGCATGCTTATAAAGTTTTAGAGATCATACATTGTACTCTTTTGTACAATTTGGATGCGTTTTCTCCTTCAGTTGTGCACATAATGTATTTTGAGAAACATCCCTTAAGGTACCGAGAATAAACATAGGGTTTGTTCATAATGGACCTAAGTTGGAGAATTAAAATGCATGTGACCATAATAGATACTACTCTTATTAAATAGAGGAAATGTCACTATGATTCATGTGTTTTGTTCTTTGATGAAGGTTGTACTAGTACTTGCACCAAGTGGGAGAATGTAAGATTTTCCCTAATAATATATATTATATATTATATATTAGGGCCTTAATTAAGTGGTGCAAGTTGACTAGGCTTATTAAGTGGTATGGTTGGACTTACTAACTAGTAGTTGTTAGTCAACCAAACTCTGTGCCTAATATAATCCTGGATTGATGGGATATAGGATGTTGGATGTTAGCACATTCAGTTACGGTACTCAGACCGCTCAGTAGATACCAATACACCATCTAGGGTTCTGAGTCAGGCCTGAGGCAATACATGGCTAACGGTCTACCATTAAGAGGCAACACAACAGGAACATCAACTATGGCTGGAGACCAATACGGCCACGCTTCCGCTATCATACGAGGTCAGGTTTCTCGTATACTATAGTTCAGTATAGTTAGATTATTGTATATCTAACAAAGTCCTCCCAAAATATTTTTTCAGTGGCTTTAAAAGTATGGTCAATGTCAAACATGAAAGTCATCAAGAAGCAAGGTATTTGGAAATAGAAAACAAAGGAAATTTTTTATGGTCATATGCCATTTCAATCAGTTTAATTATTAAAGGTTATGAGATTCAACTAGAGAAGGTCTTGACCATCTTAGCTACAATTGATTTGTCAAGCAACAAACTTGAAGGAGAGATTTCAATGCTCATTTGGAAACTTGAATGCACTAATACTTCTCAACTTATCACATAATTATCTCAATGGAAGTATTCCATACCAAATGGGGAACTTGACATTGCTTGAATCTTTGGATATCTCTGGAACCAGTTAGTAGGGAAGATCCCAGAGCAAATCACACAGTTGACATTTCTTGAAGTGTTAAACTTGTCTCGAAATCATTTGATTGGGCACATTCCTAGGAGAAACCAATTTAACACTTTTGGAAATGACTCATATGGCGGAAACCTCAACTTATGTGGATTTCCGTTGTCGAGTGAATGCAATGAAAACAATAGATCAAATAAACACCAACAACAACATGTTGAGTTGGAAGATAAATTCATGAATGGATTTACTTGGAGATCAGTAGTGATTGGGTTTTGTTGTGGAATGGTATTTGGAGTCTTCATGGAAAATTTCATATCTCGAACTAGGAAGCCAAAATGGTTGTTTGTGACTTTCTACGGGAATAAAATACGCAAAACCGTCCCAAGGTGAAGAAGGAATGCTTGAATATGCTAATGTTAAAAGGATGAATTTGTTGCTTTTACAAAAGCGTCACAAATAATGTGAGGTATGCATTTTTCATACTAGCTTGGATTTTATTTTCAGAGGTTTTTCTTTTCCGCATTACTTTGGTATTGTTGTATTATGGTTATTATCTTCATACTTGATTTTTCACTTAATAGGATTTCAAATTTGAGTGCATGTGGCGTTATTAATGAAGTGTAAAAACTACACTAATGAAAACTATGTTTAATGAAATATTTCTTCATTATTCAGATAATATGTTTCGTTTATTAAATCAGTTAAGTTACCTGAAATCAATAATCTATATTTAGAATGCTACTTTAATTTATAGGTTAAGAAGGACTAGGTATATGAATTATAGAATGTGTTAATATTCAAAATGGTCATCGACTATAGTGATTTTTCTCAATTTCGTCCTAAACGACTTTGGTGACCTAATATAGTAATTGACTTTTGTGTTTTTGCTCAATTTAGTTCTCTGTTTGTTATTCTGTCAAATTGGTGTTAAATAAAGTGGCAATTCAATAATCTCAATATTGGCCTCTCTTTACTCTCAGTCCTGCGACGTGCGAAATCCCTCTTTCTTTTACGAATTACTCCTAGAATTACTTCCAGACATGCGAATCGAATTTCATATTCGCAGGTTTGAGAGTAATTCGTAAAATAAAGATATAATTCACACTTCGCTGGTTTATGAGTAAAGAGATGCAATATTGAAATTACTGAATTGTTCATCTTTTTAACACCAAATGGACGGAATAACAAACGAAGGACTAAATTGAGCAAAAATACACAAGCTAGTCTGAGACTATATTAAGTCACCAAAATTAGTTTAGAATGAAATTGAGAAAACCATTATAGTGGAGGACCATTTTATGTACTAACCCATTATAAAATTATATCATATTTTAGTTTTTTTGGGCATTATGATTTACCACTTTTGATTATAAATTTTAAAATTAACCACGTTTTCTGGGTAATGGTACATGGACCCATAAATTTTCACCAAAGTTTTTTACCACAAGGTATTAATTCATACAACTTATTTTGTTTTCTCATCGAAAGATAACAGAGTAGAGGCCATCATCACCAAAGTTTTTTACCACAAGGTATTAATTCATACAACTTATTTTGTTTTCTCATCGAAAGACAACAGAGTAGAGGCTTTTGATAGCAAGTAATTTATACTTGACGTTTAAATTTCAATTATAATACCATGGACCATGGTCTAACATAAGATACATTTTTAATACACTGATTTGTGTACTAAAAATATATTATTTGTATATACATTATTTATGTACTAAAAGTAATACATAAATAGTATATTAAAAATATACTTTGTATCAATGATCCACATTACAAGATAGATCATGTTACATAATATAATTTGCTTTAATTTTTGTGCTTTATTTCCAGTCTAAATAAATAATTACCTCAAAGACAAAGCGATGTGCAACATAATTCCATACGGAATAGAACAAGTCTAGCTAGACACGCAAATAGTGAATTAGAGACTAATTCTAATCATGTTGATGTTGAGTAGTCAATTGTTGTATACATTTTAATAATCAGGAAACAAAATCATTTAAGTTAACAGAAATCAATAATCTATATATAGAATGTTACTTTCTAGGTTAAGAGGGAGTATGTGAATTATAGAATTATATCACTTTTGGGGCAAATTATGGTGTGGACCCAAGTCCAAAACGGTATTGTTTTGCTTCAAAACGATGCCGTCTGAATTTATAAAAAAAAAAAATTTGCTTCCTTCCTTACCGTTAACTTGACGTTTATCTTCTGAATTAATTCCTCTATATTCACAATTTTTGAACTCTATATTCAAAATTTTAGAACTCTATATTCACAATTTTAGAACTGAATATTTATAATTTTAGATTTCAATATACAAAATTACAGAACTCAACATTCACAATTGCATAACTTTATATTCACAATTTTAGAACTCTATATTCACAATTTTAGATCTCAATATACAAAATTACAGAACTCAATATTCACAATTGCAAAACCCTATATACTCACAAATTTTTAACTCTATATTCACAATTATATCAACAGTATAACACAATTTTTGAATCTATATTCACAACTTTTGAACTATATATTCACAAAAAAAAAAAAAAAAAAATCATTGGCTGAGGAAACGATGCCACTAACGGCATCGTTATTCCAGACGCGCAAAGCTACGTCATTTTGGACGTGGGTCCACCTTGCAAGGTGAACCCGGGTCCATGGCATAACAACTTTTGGTCTTTCGAGCATTATGATTTACCACTTTTGACTATTAATTTTAAAATTAATAATATTTAGTATATTATTTGAAAATACATTATTTGTGAACTGAAAGTACATATTATTTGGTATACTGCCAAATGATATATCTTCAATACATAAATAGTGTACATTTAGTATATTAAAAATGTACCTAGTATCAATACTCCATTCACCTTACAATATAGATCATGTCCATGATATAATTTGCCTTTAAATTTAATTAGTAGAGGCTTTAATATTTGTGTTTTCTATTCTTAATAAATAATTATCTTAAAGACACAGAGATGTGCAACATAATTCCATAAAAAATAGAACAAGTTTAAGATTTTTGCTATGTAATTAAAAACTTTGATATTTCAACACTATTTGTTAAGATTTCAATATAGTATATATAATATCTTATTAAAAAATTAACTTACTAATTAAATCTTCTACAAAAGAAAAGTTTAAAAATATTTAAAATCTATTCACTCTTTTTTTTTTTTTAAATCTACTGACTCTATTAGAGTGTAATATTTGTTCATACAGACATGCCCACACTGGGGTTCGAACCTGTAACTTCCCAGTTATGTCGCTCGACCATAAGGTCTTTAGCACCCTAATACTATTTATTTCAAACTATGTTTAAAATTTCATATTCTAAACTCGTAATAAGATTAATCGATACCGTACTTTGAATATCTAAAATTTTGACATATCATCTCATACGAAAAGATCATAAATTCGATTATTATTCATTCCTGGTCAAGTTGATCGTATAAGATCTATTTAGTACGATTTACCTTTTAGGTATTCTTTGCAGCCTATTACATATGAACGTAATTTATTCTACATTTTGGGTTTCTCTTCACCCAAACAAAAAAATGGCATATCAGAAATCATATTTTTGTTGGAAAAATAGCATTAAAATGACATTTTGAGTGATTATTTTGTGGTACAAATATATGTGGGATCCACTTCCGATTTGAGGCGGGTCAATGTGGATTCGGGTTCTTCGTAGTGAGATGAAGAATTTGATATAATGTATGCTCAAAATGGGTAATAGGTGAATGAGAAATTGATTCTCAAAGTGAACCTATTTGAGAGACGTCAAAAACTTAAGTTTAGATGCTAATTAAAAATTAGCATTTTAACAACTTTCGTTGCCCGAAAGTTTGTGTTAAAAGCTTTAAGTGTGATTAAGCTTTGGAAAGTTTAACTGGAATTTGGGACAAAGGTGTATGGATAAGCTTAATTAAGCTTAAGAATTGTAAGCTTTAATTAGAAAGCTTAATTTGGGTTTGAAAGCACAAATTCATGTTGGCACAAGTTTCGTGGCTCAATGATACATGCACGAAACTTGAAAGCTTATTTTTAAGCTTTCGTGTGGTGCCTTGATTTTTAATAATCTTTGGCTCCTTTCGTGCTCCTATCGTGGCAGCAGCACGAGTTAATGCATTATGCATTGATTCGTGCTGCACCGTTTTGGTGCTTGCAGATCACTCGGGTGTGGTTTTCAGTCCCAATTCGTTAAAATTTTGAGTTTGTACGAACTTCTCTGTCACTCAGATATTTTGAACCAGGTCGTTATCGTCGGTACGAATTAATCGGATATTAAGTTCGTGACCGTTGATATTCTTTCGATAATAAGTACGACCGTTTCAAACGTTATAATTCAATTTTTAAATTGAATTTATGTTGGTTAATGTGTCATGAATCATGATGATGCTATTTAGTATCAATCTCCTATATAAACATGTTGTGGGAGCAACCTTTTTGGACATAATGTTAGAAAGAAAGTGAGAAACAACACAAGAACACACACAAAGAAATTCTCTTTTCCTCTCAAAATTCTGTTCCTACTCCATTTTTGAAGCTGTGTTTTGCTCGTGCTCTTGTTCGCCGGGTTTGTTCGTTTGGGTGCTCAAACGTCGAACCGTTGTATGTTTTATCATGGGAAACCTAGGCCACAACACTCCTAGCACTTTTGGGAGGTGGCAAATAAGGTTTTAAGGAAAGACAGGCACTTTGCCTAACTCGTACTTTCTTCTTTCCTTCTTCTTTCTTGTTTTGGATTATGCTCTAAGAAAAAATCCGTTCTTTCTTGTTGATTTGGAATTATAATCTAAGGATTATATTTTCTTTTTGGCTGATATATATTGGTATATCTTTTCCGTAGATATACATGTATATATATAACCGTTGGGTCCGTTTTATATATATTTGTGTGTATATATATATTTCGGATACATATCCAATAATATTCTATATATATTTCGTGGGTATATATATAAATATTATTTTACGGATATTAAATCGGTTTTGGTTCATTATCACCAACAATCTTAAAACCTTATTTCTTTTTGATAATGAACAAATCGATGGATTCCAAAAGTGTTGGATCCGTGAATGTTGCTCGTGGTGCACATTCTAATGGTAGGAACGGCAACGATGTTGCACATTCCGTGATGCCAGTTGATGGCAGCAAGGTTGGAAATGTTGTTTCCATGGGAGTTGCAAAAACACACGATGGTGCTCCGGAGAACTTTGGTTCACGATCCGGTAGACCTGTGGCTAATGGCACACAATTGATACCTATTGTGCTGCCTAACGGATCGGCTAAAAGCCACGAAAGATCCTATGATGGTGTAATGACTACATGGTCTGAGGACTATGGTAGTGTGACCAATGACTTCAACCGTAATCGAAGGAAACTCAAGCGGAAACTTAGCTTTCAAGAAGATTATGAGAAGAAGGAGAAATGCCACTATGAAGCGAATCGTCATCCTGGTGAAAAGGTTGAGGACAATTT